CGAAAGTGAGGGGCTTCGTGTTATCAAAGTCCTAATACTGAAACACCCGTCCTGGCCCAACACATGCAGCCGCCACAGCTGCAGCGGCCGCAGCAGCAGCAGTCTCAGCGATGGCTGCGTATCTGTCATCAAAGTACTCCATCATCGCGGTCTTGCTAGACCCGAACATCTCCGGGATCTGGCCCCAGACAATCTCGATCACCTCCTCGCGGATGATCTCACTGACATGATCCTCTGTCAATGGTGGCCCACCCTAACTGCCAGCTCCTGATCCTGACCCGGATCCGGTCTCAAATCGCCTCGTAACCACCATACTGAAAATACACCAGGAAAATATCAGACAATCCGCATAAACAACGGGGAACCAACTTCCAACAAAACCCTAGGGGATGTGACTTCCTTGCTACGCGTATGGGTCCCGTGCTTTCAGTAGTACGGGCCCATACTACCTTCTACACCTACCCATATTTGTCTCAAGGATCATCACATCACCCTATCAATATACATAATCATAGGTGAGTACTCAATCCTCACTTCTAGAGGAAAGCTAAACATCTCCCAACTGGCCGACGGACCCCGCACAACTCATCCATGAAACTTCCACCAACCCTGCAACACTAGTGTATGCTAACCATACATAACACTGGACCCTATAGACTTTCGAATATCTGATCCTACCCGAAGCCCTTCATCAAACAAGAACATGAAATAAGGCCAGGCCAAAGATTCTCAGGCTATAAGATCTTAGTTATATACAACCGTGAAGCATACACTAAGCAACTACAGTAATGATGTCAATTTTATATAAGGAAAACCCTAGGCTATCAGGTATCATATAATCAGGCAATTCTACCATGCAATTCCAGAAGATCCCTAGCCTATCACTAGCATGCTTTTCTAACATATCACAGTATCAAACAACAGTATGGTATTTTGGGGTCTACTTACTGGCTTCGGCTGATCGTACACTTCGCATCCTCCTTTAGTATTTTGAAAACTGTTTGAAAATCTTTTCCTTGGTTTGAGACTGGATTCACACGAGTGTTCCTCCAATTCACTCAAACCAAGGCTCTGATACCAACTTGTAACATCCATAAATTTCACAAAAAATTTAAACTTTTTCAAACATCCAAAAACACCATTTATTACAAATTGTTTTCAAAATAGTTTGTCATCAGAGTAATTCCCAAAAATCATAACACAAATCATGAGGAGGTGCACGAGCAATCCTTCGCCTTCCCGTGATCCTCTGAAGTACCTGAAACCATAAACCAAACTGTAAGCCCGAAACTTAGTGAGTTCCCTTAAAGTACCAACACCCAAACAAATAACATAACAGCATGCATATTGAGCCATTAACCTGACTGGACCGTCTCGCAGGGCCTACAACCTATTTGGACCGCTCCCGAGCCTTCGACACGTCTGGACCGCCTCGTAGGGCCTACTTCCTATCTGGACCACTCGTCGGGCCTTCGTCCTGACTGGTCCGCCTCGCAGGGCCTTCAGTCTATCCGGGCCGCCCTAGGTCTGTTGGCCTTCAACACAAAGCAGGACCGCCTCAACCCAACCATACACACACATATGTCGACATACTCATAACACATAAACAATCAACAAACAAGCACAGATCATACAGAGCACTAAGCATAGCATCATCCTATCTACCATGATACTGATCTAGCAGATCATAACAGCATAACAACATCGTATCTACCAGGATACCGATCTAACAGATCATTGCTGAATACAAGAATACTATAACTAGGATAATAATCCAAAGGTCCAACCTTGGTGCCTTCTACCCTTTAGTACAGTGAGGAAAACTCACCTCACAAGTAGTGCTGAACTGGACTGTAAGTCTCCGACCGCTGTCTCATCGAAAATTCCGAACTCCTGGAGCTTCTAGAGGACAAGTTAATCTCATATTTTCAAGCTGGCTACACTTCTCCAACACCTTGATGCAATTTCTTCTTCTTCTTCTACTCAAAACACACACTTTTAGCTCATACACTCAAGAGAAAGGTTAGGGTTTAGGGAAAACGGCTCAAAGCTATGGAGGCTGAAATGATAGAGGTTTATGAGCTCATAAGGACACTTAAATAGCACCCAAACCCTAAATATTAGGGTTTTCTCCTGATATGAGTATGCCCAGCGTACTAGGGCGCGCCTAGTACGCTCAACGTACCCTTATGTACGTGTAGCGTACTCCTCCCGATCCAAAATTGTGTTATTAGACATTAGGGCATCTCATGGCAATATCCTCCCAACCCCAAGGACTAAAAATGACAATGATAATAATGAAGGAAAGATTCGAAAATACCTGCAAAATCTCGGGATGTTACAGTTGGGCATTGGGTCTTATGGTATTAAGAGCTTAGAAAGTTGGTTTGGCCTTAACTAGAGTAGGTTGGTCGTACCTCTTTGGTACGCTATGCGTAACGGGTCTCGACCCACTTCCTTTTTGGTGATCAGCTAGTACACGAGGCATATGTGTGGAGTACGTTAGGCGTAATCCTAGATGCATATTTGGGCCATTTTTGGGCCTTGGGTTATTAGGAGTTTTGGGCCAGGATTTTTGGGTCAAATATGGGAAGGGTAAAAGGGGTCTTTTACCCTTAGTAAGTTAGAATAAGAATTAGACCCTTGGTAATGGGTTATTACCTTAATTATTGATTAGGAATGATTTTGGATATGCTTAGTGTTACAAACCCTTGTACCAGCCTCGTGCGTGTGATTCACTTATCTTCAGTTGGAGGTGAGTCTCTTCACTGTACCCATGGGTTGAAGGCACCAATGTCGACCCATTAGGAGGAGTTATATAGAATGCTAGTTGTCTTTGTGACTCTTGCATTGTATGTTGGGTTGGGCCCATTAACATGTGTATAGGGCTAGGCCCATTTGCATGAATGGGTTGGGCCCATCGTATGATGGGGCTAGGCCCATTGTATATCGGGCTAGGCCCATTTGTATGTAGGGATGGGCCCATTGATTAGGAAGGGCTTAGCCTATTATTATGGGTTGGGCCTAATGTGCGGGCTAGGCCCAATGATATGTATGGTATGTGGTATTTTGGGGAACTCACTAAGCTTTGCGCTTACAGTTATCTGTTTATGGTTTCAGGTACTTCCGGTTGCAAAGGGAAGGATCGGGCGTGACTGCACAGCATCCCCCAACGATTTCCGCATCGGCTATTTATGACTTATACTCTGATGATAAAATATTTAATTACTGTAATTGGTTTTGGAACAACTCAATTGTATGACTTAAGTGTTTTTAAAATGAAAATTGTACTCTGAATTTTTGGGACGTTACAAGACTTCTTGTCACTAATCCGACACTCTACAGGAGCCTCGCAGGGGCTCTTCAATAACTTACTTTCACGACACCTGACATCACTTATGTGGTTCAGCAGGCTTGCATTTACATGCATGATCCTCGAGAGCCTAACTTCACCGATCTCAAGCGCATTTTGCGCTATATTCGTGGTACTTTTGATCACGGCCTACAACTTTGTGCTTCCCCATCTCGTGGTCTGATTGCTTACTCTGATGCCGATTGGGTTGGATGTCCCTCTACATGCCGCTCTATTTCTAGTTACTGTGTTTTCATGGGTCAGAACATTCTCTCTTGGTCTTCCAAGAGACAAGGTACCATTTCCAGTGAATATCAGGGCGTTGTAAACGCGGTTGCTGAGACCTATTGGCTGCGTAACCTGCTTCGCGAGCTTCACTATCCACCACTTTCTGCTATGCTTGTATATTATGAGAAAGTCAGTGTCGTTTACTTGTCCAACAATCTAGTTCAACATCAACACACAAAACACATAGACATCGACATTCATTTTGTGCGAGACAAAGTCGCTATGGGTCATATTTGTGTATTACATGTCCCATCCTCGTCTCATTATGCTGATATCCTCACCAAAGGGCTCCCTTCGACTTTGTTTCTTGACTTCAGATCCAGTTTGAACGTCCGTTCTAGACCTCCCATTCTGACTGCGGGGGGATGTTAGCCGTAAATATGTTTTGTGTATAGTATTTTTATGTTGTAGTATTTTTTTTATTGTGTGGCCCATGTATTATTAGCCCACATTCTTAGCCCTTATCTTTTTGTATATATATTTGGTGGAATAATATTATTCAGTCAAGGGAAAACATTTGTCAAGGGGATATGAAAGATCCGAAAGTATTTTCTATGAATCGAAAGCACCCAAAGTTGTGTGTACAAGCGTGCGTATATGTGTTCACGGACAAGCAACCAAGCATGAACGTGCATATGCAATTTGCTATACTTTTTCTTTAGTCTTATGTAAATATAAAATTGATATCAATCAAATGTTATTTACCAAATGGTGTATGGACAATCGGTAGTAGCAGGTAAATTGTAAATGTGTCATTGGTTGAGGATTATGTGATGGACAAATGTGTAGATTTAAGACTAAGATTAGGGTTGTGTGGGTTAACTTTTTTTTTTTTAAAGTAAAATGTCATCTGAAAAACTAGTTTAATAGTAATATTGAGTTATATAGGGACTATGTTGGTTTTTTCCTGTTTGGTATAGGGCAAATTGGTCATTATATCAATATTAAGATGTGAGGGGTTAGATATAACGATTCAAGGATGAAAATCGCAACAAAATCCAAAATTGGAGTGAAACCTTTTCTGTGGGTCACTCTAAACTTTACTCAAGTAAATTCTAATGTAATTTTGGAATCATGTTTTTATTTATGTTGTACTTCAAGTATTGGATAATACAAAGACATCCCAATAAACCTCAAATATCTTACATTATGAACATTATTTACAAGGAGAATAACATAAACCTACATTTATAAGTACATGGCAACCACCCATTTTATCCTCAAACTCACCAGCTTACTCTTTCAAGAAGAGGGACTATGGTAATAATGAGATATAATGAGTAATTACCCACATTTGTTTCTACAAAAAGAAATCTATCAAACTACAAGAAGAAAAGAGAGTAAACAGGTTTTATGCTCATCATGCAGACCCCATTAATGATTCGTCAATGATTTCTTGACTAAACCTCCAAACATGATGAAGCCCCACAAGAAGTTCTGTAATTGCAATTTCACTTGTTGCTTGATCTGCATAATGTAATGTCTGAACAAGAAGCACTTGTCCCTTTGAACCCATAGGTTGCTTCTCAAAATTTCTCTCAGAATACCATTTTATCATGTTATGAGCAAGTGGAGATAACCAATCAAGAATCCTTTTCAATGATGATCTCCAATCTGATGCAACACGATGATCAATTTTTTTTGAGGAAAGAAAAAGCTTTTGTCTTAATGAGTTTTTGATACTTGTGGTCAACATATCATACAAGTCTTCTCTTGCATCGGGTCTTAAAAAGCGAGGAGACATTGCTAAATTCTCAATAAATATGATAATATTTGCATAACGTAAAGCTAAAGCAGTGTCACCAAGGGTCGGTTCTTGACCTTTCAACAATCTTTTAGCTTTCTTGATAGGGTCAAAAGCGTCATTTTGAAAAATACCTTTGACCCTGATGGAATTAGGGTTATAACTTCTTGACGTCGTGCATCCAATATGAGCCGATTTTTGTGATTTAATTGATGGGTATCTTGCACACATGATAGGAGAGTAACAAGTTTGAGGATTTGGTGTATGTCTAAGATTTGACATGGATCTACTTGAAGAAGTTTCAGATGGGTAGACCGAAGCTCCTGCAAGGGTAGAAATGGAATACTTGCGAACAAAACAACCATCTCTTCCCATTTCGGTTGTAATTCCGAAAACGACCTTGATCCTTTGGACTATTGTGAAGAGAGATCTAAGCAATAGTCGGACAATATAGTCAAAGGTTCGAACCCATGGTGACATGTCACGTAACCCATTTACTTCCTCACGTTGCCACATCACCTTCTGGTGGAACTCAAGAAGTTGACTTTGGTTCACACCGTTTGACTGCATTTTTTTTAGTCTGGTTTCTAAATCAGACAATGTTTCAAGTTCTTCTTGCAACTGTGACATAACATTAGCAAATTTCTTCATCTTTTTAACCCTTTTCTCCATTTTCTTCAACCTATATTCCCATCCACACCATTTGAGATTAATCTCAAATGGGTTGTGGAAAACATGGTCAAGATTATGATACATGGGGTCCACACACTTCTTTCCAAGCCTAGCCACTGAGATTGATACACCCTTTAGGTTATCAATGATTTCTGATAGTGCAAGATTAATAAGGTAAGAATGATCATCTGAAATAAGTGTACGGATGCCAAGTGAATATCTGAGTTCTTCTTTTAGTCTTGACACGTGTCTGTCAGTTAGGCAGTGCCATAAATTTGCTACTTTACACATCAATCTTGAGACTTCGAATGATAAGATTCCAATGATTGGGTTTTCAGCCTCAAATCCCTTGTTTTTATGTGAAGTCTTGAGAATTGTAAACCAAGATGACTCGTTCATTTTCTTGATTTCTAAAGAAATACGTGATGATGATGATGATGATGATGTATGCTCACTATCGCTGTTACAAAAACAATAATAAAAATCAATAATTGGTAACGAAGACCATGAGTGAATAAGTAATTTTAGTTTGAAATTTTGGTAGAATGGGTTAAACACCGCATAACAAAAAATCTTTGCAATTAGCTGAGGAATTCAAGATCACTGTTAGTCAACACATTTCATATGTTCCTTTTATTGTTCCTGTAATTTGCAATTGATAAATCAATTCCCCTCGAGATTGGTGAACAGAATAAATTGCGAAGAGTGGTTTTCACGAAACAATTAAGAAAGAATACAACTATTTCATATCAATACTAAGCTTCAAACACTTTTTTCATTTGTTAGCCCATTAAGTACTACAATTAAGGGAACAATTGTGTGCCAACAGACTCTGAAACAGTTTTGGCACTGAAAGTGGAAGGAATATAATCAAAAACATAGAATGTATAATCATGTTCTCCTATTAAGACCAACATACAGATTTAATGCAGCAAACTAACATCAAATTTACTACATTTAAAAACTCACCAAGAATACCCAGAGCCAATCGAAAGAGCATTGACAGACAAATGTTTGGGATAGAGTTTTTATGGCAGTTATTGACATTTTGTCTGGAGAAAATCGGGAAATCCGAAGGGTTGATTCTTGGATGCAGCAAGTAGCCACTTCGTGCCAAACTAAGTAGGAAAGGTGTTGAATTTTGGAAGGTGACCCATGGCTTGCGTTATTTGTTCAGAAATATACGAAAACAAGGGATGAAAATCCACAACTGTTCCTTGGTTTCAACAAGATCGCTACATGAGATATGCTGTGGTATCCCACAAAGTATAACGAAATTACCCATCTTGTCTACTACGATAAATCTCCCAATTTAATATATAGTGTTTTAAAAGAAAGACCGGAAAATTTACATTAACTTTTTTTTTAATCATTTTGCAGATTATCAAACATAAATTAATTATTCCAATAAAATGATAAACTGTTATTCACTAAAATTATAATAAAAAATAAAAAACTTTATTTCAAGATATTCATATCTTTTGGGATCTTGGATAAGTAGCACAAAAAACACTAAGTTTACACCAAAATTCTAATTTGACACTGTGTTTTTTTCTCAAATTTGATACTGGGTTTTCCAATTTTTTATAATTCTGAACACTTGACCGGTCAACTCAGATACCTGCTGACGTGACATGATGACGTGTCAGTTTTGATGACGTGACATGACCATTAATCCCGGAAAAAACAGCCACCCAATTTGTGTGAACTATATTTTCTAAATACTTATGACGTGGTTATCTTGATGTATGAACTACTTGTTCCGCTAAATAGTAGAGTTGATTAACGAAACTGACGATAACAGATTTTTTGTAATGTATAGTTGAACAAGTTAACATAGAATACACATCAAAAATAAAAATAAAGAAAAGACTTATATTTATTCATTAACAAGTTTATATACATATTACCAAAAAATACTAATATTTTTTTTCAATATTTTCCTTGCATTTTTTCTTTGTTTGCAAAAGTTTCTTGTCTTGTTTGAAAGAGCTAATGATGTGGTGGGTTTGGAATAACTCTACATTTGCTTCGATTTTGTTTAGTCTGACACTTGATGGTGAGCGGTAAGGAACATTTTGAAAACAATATTGGCAAGTAAAATCCATATAGGTATATTAACATCCATTTTTGCAACACATGAAGCTCTTCTAACATGTTTTTACAAAACTCTCAAATAGAAATAGGTATATTGTAGAGTCAATAAATATTTGCATGAATCAAAATTTAGGTTCGACCAAGTAGATGTGTCTGATGAAGAAGAACCACTAGAAAGGAATATAGGAGAAGATGGACGGAAGGTAGTTTGTTGACATATTCGTTCGTTGGTAGTTATTATACAAGTTTTGAACGTACGCATCATCATGCATTGATCAAGATATAATTCACATGTAAGTTTGGTTAATCCATAATCTCCATATATATAAACAAAACAAAAGTACCACACAAACTCTTCGCATCAATTCATAGTTTACAATAACGATGTCATGTAATACGGTATAAATAGTTGCATGGGAAGTGAATGCTTGATAAATAACCTTTTAAATTACAAAAAGTATTCGTGATTTGCATTAATAGTTACATGCAGAATGAACGCTTAAGTAAATAATTTTACAACCAACGCGAACGATTAATGTGTACATGTTGCCTTTTAAAGCCCATGTAAATGTTGGTCGTTGTGAGGTAGTACTCACGAGGTCTTCACAAGGTTTTTCCTTTTCACTTTATAGTCTTGAAGAAGGAGGTTTATATCTTCTTTATCTTAATGGCTTCTTCATAATCTATATCAAGCTACGGAAGGAGCATGTGGTTGATAAAAAAAATGGTGAAATCCAAAGGTTTCTCTATGATGATGAAGCTTCATTATTTATTTCCTGGACTCCTTTAACCCATGCATTAGGTTTTATCGATGTCCTAATTCCACAAAGGATGTACAAGGTTTAAACTATGGCACGCCAAAAATATTTCCCTTCAACTAACATCTTATGTGGGTCTTTGGGTGGGTTAATGTGGACCGTTCAGATGGTGCAGTTAACCCTTTTTTCACATTGTGCATTTTTCTATTTGATTTGTTTGTGAAAATACATGTAATGTATATAACATGATAGTTGATTATTGTAATGTTTATCTAACTATTGTTCATTTTATAGCCAACAAAAAAAAATAGATAACAAACAATCCAAAACTCCAACCAATCAGATGGATTTTACATTATACTAGAGAACGAACTGTTACATAAAAAATGTTATATCGATAATCCAACAAACCAGGCAAATATGAAATAGAAAATGCAAACCAACAAAAGGTGGTAGCATTTAAGAAGCATGAAATACACAGGCCTCTCCAATACCTACTAGAGAACAAACTATTACATGTATTTTAATAATATTAACGCACAATATATCTTATAGTAAACACTAAGAAAGCATGAAATTTTTCTATGCGTTTTTGTCAATGTTAATGTGATCTCATCATATGAATAAATGCATGGTCATCGAAGACTATCTAGAATCTTTGGTGCAAGCCAACAATAGATGTTAGCTCATACTATGACAACATGTACATTAATTCTTGTAAGATGTTTGTGTTGGGTTTTATGCATGAACAAGAATATGTATAGAGTTATTAACTAAAATGACCATGAAATGCCAACATGTTGATATATTTTTAAACTACTTGTTTACTTTCTCCATTACAAAAATAAAAAACAAGATTAATATTGATTCAAATAAACGGGAGAGATTTAAACTATGTAAAAGCAAAGATAATTTTTACAAGTTACATGGAAATAGTCCATGATATATGATATGCATTGGTTTCTTCCACAAACATTTTTTAGGAAAGTATTAACTTCTTTAACTATATATGTTTTCTATTGCATTATTTGTTCTTCATCCACATCACGATGATCGTCTGCATTGCTTATCATGAGTAACGATTGAGCTTAATCGTGAGAAATTTGAGTATTTGATTGGACGTGAAGCAGTTTAGGAATAAATTCCGCCATATACTCCCTAATATTTGTTATGTATAAATCTTTAGAATTTTCTTGTACATATTTAAATTCCATAATTTTGTAAAATATTCTAAAAATATGCATATTTCGACGAGTAGTGGGTGCACTAGTCATTTTACATGATGTGATAAAACATGAATATATGTCTTATCCAAAAAAAAAAAATCATTTTCACCGGTGGTGACTCTTTTGCTAGTGGAGTTGGGAACGATCATTTAAGCATTCTCATTGGGTTCCTCGCTAGTGACACACCCCAACTCCCTTCAGATACAGATTTGTCATGGACTCTTGGTGAAATAGTGAAAAGAAATGTTGCTATTAGAATAATTGTATTAGATAATCACCAACTTATTATTTAAATATGTATTTTTATGTATCTTGTATTATCTCTCCTTTAATAAATGAGATTAGTTTGTATTTTGTTAATATAAATACACAGACCTCACACACGATTGAGGTGTGATTGAAATTATAAACATTTTACATGGTATCAGCCTAACAAACACTCCTCCCTCACAATAAGTCTCTTTTTTTTCTTACCCTAAACCCTCTGATTTCTTCCTGGTACCTCATCATCATGTCAACTTCTACATACTACACTTTCACTATGAATACTCTTCTTCATATGATTCCTTTTAAACTCTCTTCTACAATTACCTTCTGTAGAGGATTCAAATGATACCTTTGTTTTATTATCAGAATCTTTTAAGTCACATTGATGAAACTTCCATCGCTCCTCTTGCAACAATTGAATCAGATAATAAATCAGTCGTGAATCCTACGTTCTCTACATGGACTGATTTAGATCAGAAGATTGTCATTCTACTAAATTCCTCTCTCACTGAGAAGGCTGCTGCCGAGGTCCTTGGTCTCTCCACTTCTCACGCTATCTGGTCTGCCTTGGAGACTGCATACAATAACTCATCTGTTGAATGTATTCACTCTTTACGAGATTCTCTTCGTCAAATAACAAAAGCTATAATTTTTGTTTCTTATTATGCTCACAAATTCAAGACTTCTTGTGATAAACTTACTGATATTGGCCAACCTGTTGAGGAGATGGACAAAATTCATTGGTTTTTTATGGATTGGGAGCCTCATTTGAAACCTTATCCACAGTTATTCGAACATGTAAACCATCCCCACTTTTCAGAGATTTAGTTGCACAGGCTGAAGGCCATGAGTTATTCCTTAAAACTCTTCATGGTTACATTACTCCTCCCTATGCCTTCATGTATCAATAGAACAGGTCCAACAACTCTCATGGACGCCAACAACATTATTCTCGTGGTGGCTCTAATGGTAATGTTCTCATGGTGGTTCTAATGGTGGTCGTGGATGTAGAGGTCATCGTCCTCCCCACTGTCGATTATGCCAAACAAAT